CAACCGTAGTACACCCAGAACCGGGCCTCTGATTATGGAGGTTTGTAGCGTTTAGGGTTTAGGGTCTGAGGTTTAGGGTTTAGGGTTTATTGTTTAGGGTCTACGGTTTAGGGTTTAGGGTCCTATCTCGACCTTTTGTATAAGCCGGTTGCAGACCCCAAGATCAAGTCGCCCAGAATCCCGAATCCTAAATCCTCAACGTTTAACTATCCGAAAATTCTAAAACTCCTGAGCCCTAAAATCCTAAACTACATTACAACCTCTGAGCGCTGAACCCTGAACCCTAACTTACTCCAAGCTACCCTAGACCCTAAACCACCAAAAAATGTAAACTACCCTAAACCCTAAACCACCAAAACAAGTAAACTGCCCTAAACCCTAAACCGCCAAAAACAGTAAACTACCCTAGACTCTAAACCCTAAACCCTAAGCCCTAACTACCATAAACCCTTAACTACCTTGAGCCTTAGACCCTCAGAGGGCGTGCAAGTGTTTGCTCGGTGCCGAGGAGCGGTGCTGCCGGCTCGGGATGATTTTAGGGCTGAGTAGCTGCATGGGGGCACTTTAAACTTTGGGAAAGAATATGGGTCTAAACACCCTAGACCGTAAACACCCAATAAAAACTGGCATCCATGAGGATCTTGGCTTGCTTTTTATCATGTTCTTCGGTTGGGCCTTCTAGCATCATTCTTCGAGGTGGGAGTTCAGAGGTTTAGGGCTTCACGGTTGTGGGTTGTCATGTTGCAGTGTAAGGCCCGAAAAAGCAATAGTTAAGCGGATCTTTAGTCGACAACCTCACGTCCAGATCCAATCCTAAGCCCTAAAGTTATGCTTGAAACTCGAAGGAGTCGCAGTATAACTCAAATTAGCCGCACCGCATCCCTACAGCAACATTGTTTTTGACCAAAATATGAGGTATGGCACAAGCCTCAGAATCAAGCTCCAGAAGTTCTTTTTGGCAGTTCAAGCTCCCAACCCCCACCCCTAAACCCGAAAGCCGAAACCCTAGCACCCCAAGCCTACACCCTAAACCCTAAACTCGGAACCCTAAGCCCTAGACCCTAAGACCCTCAACTCTGAACCCGATCCTGGCAGCCCGTCACTCAAGTGCTGCCCAATGTGCGGATGAGCTCTGGGTTCCTATACTTCGGGGGTCTCTCTTGGTTTAGGGTTGTAGGGTTTATGGTTTATGGTTTGGGGTTTCGGGTTTAGGGTTTAGGGTTTCGGGTTTAGGGTTGAGGGTTGAGGGTTTAGAGTTTAGGGTTTAGGGTTTAGGGTGTCTCAGTACCGCGCCAGAAGGGCGCATGCTTTGGATTACACTAATATATTCCACAAAATCCTGCTCTAATTATTCGGGCCCCTAGATTGCCTCAAGGGCCCTAAACCCTAAACCCTAAACCCTAAGCCCTAAACCCGAAACCCTAAACCCTAAACCCGAAGCCCTAAACCTTAAACCCGAAACCCCAAACCATAAACCCTAATTGCTTAAAGAGTGCAAAAATCAACCCCACACACACCGACCTACAGAGCAGTTTAGGGTTTGGGGTTTAGCCCTCACTCAACTTTCTATGGTCATAAATCAGGTAGCCGCACTTGAAACTACGTATGGGTAGTTCTCTCTAAACTGGGGTCCTTTTTTGGGTCCCCAATATGATACGGCATCCTTATAAAGAAAGGACCCAAAAAAGGGACGCTAATTTAGAGAACTACCCTTATAACCCCAATTGAGGTACTTATAGCTGTGCTTACTCAACGCTCAACCTTTAGCAATGAGGGCTGTTGGGATGGCAAGCGGCTCGGGTTCTGGGGGGTTTAGGGTCCCCAAACCCTAACCCTAAACCCTCATCCCTAAACACTAGAACGCTAAAGCCTAAACGCTAAACCCTAAAACGCCAAGGAGCCCATTAAAAACAAACGCTGAACCCTAAACCCTGAAGCCTAAACCCTAAACCCTAAAACCCTAAACCCTTAAACCCTGAACCCTAAACTCTAAACCCTAAACCGTCCCTAAACCCCCCCAAGCCGAAGCCGCACAACTCTGTGCGCTTGGGTTTCAGGCGAGTTTGGATCCTTAGGGTGGAGGGTGGGTTAGGGTTCAGGTTTTAGGGTTTAGGGTTTAGGGTTGTTTCCGACACGATTCCATAGGCTCCACAACTATAGTCATTCCCGAAAAATATCACCAAACCCTTTTTGAAGTATTCAGTTGCTTGCAGTCCAGACTAGATTGAGTGTTTGGACATGTACGCGCACTGGTTTTTCGCTGGATGTTCTTCAGCCACGCTCCATGCAGGGTCGGTACAGCTGGGGAAATAGGAGTGATAGGAGCATCTCGTAGTGTTCCTAAACCCTAAACCCTAAACCGCTGTGCCGCTCTGATCCCCTGCCAGTAGGTATTTCCCAGGCCCTAATCCCAACGAAGCCGCTAAGTTCATCAAGCATGGATCCCCGTTCCTTACTCCTTCGGCGCGTGAGTCCGGTGGTCTAGTATAGGGGCCTTAATAATTAGAATAGGTTTTGGGGTATATTATACTATGCTTATAATAAGGAACCCCCAAAATAGTATTGGTACTTATGAAGGCCCCTACATTATGATTATGGATAAATCAGAGACAAGCGAATCACTTGAAAGGCCCGACAGCCTCGAAGTATCCTCGAGCTGGGGACCTGCATTTGAACTCCGCGCCTTCAACTTTTTCAACCCTGGCCCATTTCGGAGTTTCAGAAAACAGGGGACCCCAAATTAGGGAATCCGAACTTTCAATCTCAGGTACCCCTAACTTGTCTTAACGTTGTGGAAGCGCTAGACAAACCCTATCAATCCGGTTTAGCACCTTGAACGAAAGAATCCCTAAACCCTAAGTCCTAAACCCTGTACCCTGTACTTTACACCCTAAACCCCGAACTCTGTACCCTAAACCCTAAACCCTACATCTCCGGATTTTCTGAAAACCCCCGCATTCCTGTCCCGGGATGCAGCCCGGGCCGCGGCCGTGCCGGATGTGCAGGGCTGATGCCGGGCTTCAAAGTTCCCAGATCTTCCGGGAGACCTTAACTGTAGGGTTCAGGGTTCAGGGTTCAGGGTTTAGGGCTTTGGGTTTAGGATTTAGGGTTGAGGCTTCAGGGTTTAGGGTTTAGGGCTTAGGGTTTAGGGTTCAGGGTTTAGGGTTTAGGGGCCTTAACGAAGGAATTGGGGTTTGGGATTTAGGGTTTGGAAGATCCGGGTTCTTGAGGGGAAGACGCGGCGGGGCATCCCAAGAAGGTTCAAACTGAATCCTTCCAGGGTTCGTCACTGTACTTTGGAGGGTTTTATAGGGTTGACAGGGGTTCTGGCAGGACGTGTAATAGTACCGTACGAACCACTAATCATTCCTAAACTCCAGAACCGTTGGAAAGTGCTATCCCGTTGTAGTCCTCGTATGTCTCATCATGAAGGTGTCCCTCGATTACAAGCTCGACGCAAAATTCTGGCAGGGTTTATGGTGCCCCCAAGAATCAGATTGATTAGTGCTTGTATCGTCACGCTTGATAAAGGGCCTGAATAATTTCGTACCGATGTTGTGTCCTCAGTTTCCATTTTGTAAATGTGTCACAAAAGATGCATGTCTATGCATCGTATACCCTAACCCTAAACCCTAAACCCTAAACCCTAAACCCTAAACCCTAAACCCTAAACCCTTACTGTTACCGCCGTGGTCTGCATGGGCCCCCGCCTGCTGACCCCTCAAGTACCGTTTCAAGGAGAGTTCCGCACAGTTGAAAGTCGTTCCAAAGCAGGGTCTGTGCAGGGCGTGCCGCGCAAGCCCCTGCATGTGTATGCCTCGAACATGAGAACAGCAAGGGTTGTTGTTAAGGTCTTCAGAAAACCGCATGACCGGCCTACGCCCTAAACCCTAAGCCCCTAAACCCTGAACCCTAAACCCCCAACCCTGAATGCCAAACCCGAAAACATAAACCCTGGACGCCCTAAGCCCAACCCTGGACGCCCTAAGCCCAAAGCTGAGAACCCCTTTGTGGAGCAGTCGGAATGTTCAGTCACATCCGTAAAACCCTAAACCCTAAACCCTAAACCCCTAAACCCGAAGCCCTAAACCCTAAACCCTAAGCCCTAAAACCCGGAAGAGCCTTCGATCTGAAAGCCTACACCCCAAAACCCCGAAACCCCAATTTTTGCGGTTCTGGGTTTACGGGCTTTGGGTCTAGGGTTTAGAGGTTTAGGGTTTAGGGTTTGGATTTAGGGTTTAGAGGTT